ATATATGTATATAGATTATTACTATTTTGAAATAAGTTCTTAAACCTATTTTTCTTAAAACTTAGAACAATAACTAAAGAAGTGATGGAATCAATTACCTTTTCTAGTTATGACCTTTGTACTCAGTTGCTGCTTGATATAGGTTGCTAAGCCTTTAAAAAATTTGCACATGGAGGATGTGAAACAAAATAATTTTTGTTAGGTTTTATATATACATTTGAATAACTAACAAATTATAAATTACTACATCAATACCATATAATTCTACTATACTTTATCAAGCTTATTAACTAAGCTGTACTTAGATCTAAAAAAATATAAAATTTCGAGCAGACTAAAGACACAACCTACCTTCTTGAGATCTTGGTTCAAAAGAAAGAAAGGGTGCCAAGCCCATTAAAATAGCTGAGAAAGACACTAGGGGGACATTCTGAGCCTCCAATTACTTATTCATGTCATATATAGAAGTAAGTGTATATAAGGTAGTGTTTCCAAAAATGGTAAGTGGTGGGCAGGATGCCACTGTATTTGATATATTACATGAGCAATATCTTAGCAAATTGAAAAGGCTTTTATTTTACATTCTAGCTTGTCAGTATCGGTAATTTGAGTTTCTAATTCATACGAAAATATAGACTGAGTATTTTGGCTTAACATTAACAAACATGTAATTTGAACCATTGCTGCATTCAACATACCACATGATGAAACACAAAAATCGATGTTTATCTGTGTATTTTTAATATTTGCTTTTAAATTAAGAAATTGAGTAATATATAGTACTAAAAGTTGATTTATAATCTACACATTGATACCAAAGTTATTGACATAAATTTATGAAATAGTAGTTCAATAAAATTTTGAATGCGAGTAAACAAACGAGATGACATGGCCTTTCACACATGACCCATGTTGAAAGGGTTAATAGTCCTTGCAAACAAGCCAGCCCATAACCTATTTAAATGTAAACCATCCATTCCAAGAATTTTCCTTTATAATCTCATCTCTAAAGCTAATTCTTGGAAGTATTCCTCAGAATTATTTTATGGCCCTTTTCTTTGAATTCCTTTATCAGTCCCTTGTGCTTATCAATAGCTTCTCTGACCAACCCTTCCCTGCATCATTAGACCTTTTGTGCACAACAAAGACTGCATCACTGCTAGTATCCTTTATTCTATCACTTGCACTACAGTTATGTCCTTCACCCTTGAATCAGGATAGATAATCTAATTTTTTTGTCATGTCTATCCCACAGACCATCCTATCTATGTCCATAACTATAACTTCTTAGGTTTTTAATTCCCATCCCTACCTGTCCCTTTTGTTTTCTTTCATTCCAACATTTCCTCATCTGCTCAAACTAAAGGCTAAAATATTTTACTTTATAGAACCTTTTCATTACAATTAAATCCACTTCTTGACCTAGTACTGTTTGTAACTTCCTGAAAGTCATTATTAGTTACTGTATCTCTTGCATATAAAAGTTCCTTTTTAAATCCTGCTTCCATTTTCCACAGTTTCCACTTTTCTTACTCTGTCTTTCTTACTCTGTTTAGGTTAGCCTTCAATTTCTCCTCTAATCTGCTAACTATACAAACATATTGTACAGCTTCACCATTAGCTTCAAAAATATTGTTAACAGCAAGGGCACCTGACTGATGAAACAATGCATTCTAATATTTACAAATAGAAGCATAAGAAAAATATATTTAATTAGCTATTACTGATTGCCAGGTTTATTTTTAGTTTAGCCCTAAGTACATAACTTCCTCTGATCAGATGTTAATAATAATTCCTTAAAAGTGCTCTGCCAGTCCTGAGTTTCCAAATAAAACACATTCATTGCACCCATTACACAGTAGAAGCTGTGAGGCCTTCACACCTATGCTACTCCTAACGACTGTAGTCTAGGAGTAAATAATGAATACTAAATACAAGTAGCTTATTTACAACACTGTTGATCCTAATGTTTGACAACTAAATATGTTACTCTATTTTATCATTACTTTATCTTTATACTAAAGTAATTCTTTATCTTTGAAACGGAAGTGATAAATAACTAGTCTTTTGATTATATTTATCTAATAGTACAATTTATTTAGGCTGTTTTTTAACTTATCAATAAGCTGAATTGTAGTTAAAGTAGTGGTACACATGCAACCTAATTTACATTATTTTGTACACAACCATATCCTAATTTAATTCTACTAATAATACTTACTACTTGTATTAATTTATCTTTTTTTAGTATTACCATAAAACTATTACAAATAATAGTACTTAAAGAGATTTAAATGAGATATTTCAAAAGCTTAGCTGTCTAATGTTTTTACTATTCCTTGTATACCTCTAATTGACAAAACTATGTCAATGTGAGTGCTACCTTGGCAACGTTTTTACCTGCTGTTTAAATTGTTTTTAAATAGATTTTCCTTATGACAATTAGTTCAGGATTCTTATAAAAAGGAAAGTTTATTAATTATATAAAGATGGCTCTATCTTTAAACAACTTGGGGATATCTCCACCCAAAGCATAATAAATATCTGCAATTTTTGGGCTGGTATGTTGCTTTAATACTTTGAGTTGAATTAAACACTCTTTCAGTTTTCTGGTGTATTTACTTATATTTGTCAGAACATTCTAGTGTTTTGTATGTTTTTTTCATTTATTGTATCTTAGTCATTATTATCATGTCAGAAAATATAAATGATTGGGACATCCTACAGTTTTTCTAATGACTACATGCTGGTGTTTTTTTATTGTTGCACTACTTCCCACTACTAATCCTTATTTCCAAGTTTCTATATGAATTCAATATTTGATGCTTATGTGAACAGTTAGTATATGTTTTAATTTGGATTTGATATTACTCCATTTGTTAAGTAGATTATTTTTGAAACCTCTGTATGGTAATAAATGATGTAGCTTATTGGCTTGATATTAAATTTTGACCATAATTAGTATTTATTTTGTCAATACCTTTATTAATAGAGCTCCCATAAAATTTGGTGGATTGTAAGAATAATAGCAGTTGTTAAAGGATAAAAAGAAAAATAAACAAGGATAATGGTATTTAAAGTTTAGTCTTTAAAAACAGTTATATCAGGATGATTTCATCACTTTTGAAAGCTAAGAATGTCAGTTTTGAAAACATATACTCCTGCAAATTTGGATTAGCAAAAGTTTATTAATAATGAAAGACAATGTTTTAAGGTGGAAGAAATAATCTGTGATGTTATAGAATATAAGAAGAGTTAGGTAACTTAGAACAGTTCTTAAAAGCATAATACTATTGACCTCTCATGATAATTAAAAAGTATTATTAGGGGGAAATGCACATTTACTCTAAGGATGCTCTTTTTCTACCAAAATTTATTTGTTTTAGCATTTTCTAGATGATTATAATATCCTGAGTCAGAATAGATTTCTGCCACATTTTGTTATTTATGATTACATATAAGAAGGGTTATTATTCATTTTGACAATCTGAAGAAGTATTTAATGACATTTTAATTAAAGTTAAATTTCTTTTTGAGGATTTTAAGAGGATCAAAGTAGAATAATTTATCTAGAAAATATTTAGTAAACTGACTATATGAAAAATAAACAAATGATTACATTTGTATATTTTTTAAAACCTTTGTAAGAAATAATTAATTTCTTTTTACTTGTATAGCTAATGATATCTCAAAACTGAAATCATACTTTAAGTTAGTAAAACTGTTGGATTTATATGCTAATATATTTTCCTTTTTTTAGCCGTGTTGTTTTGCCTTTGACGGTTGAAGAGGTATGGCGATTTATTTCTTTTCCATTTAATTATGGCAATTACTTAAAACTTATTAAATATTCTATTAGAGACATTTGTGCAATCTATGGTACTTATAATTTATATTTTAATTAAATATCTTTAGGTTATTAATCCATTACTCTTTTTTAATTTTTTGTAAGAACATTAATGTGTGCACTTGCGTTTTTGACAAAAAAAGAGATCAAGAAAGAGTGTTTTGAAAATGTATACGTTTTACATTGCAAAAACTTGTCACGTAGGCTGTACATTCTCTACTGATGCTATTATGCACTAGCTTTCTTGGAGATTTATACATTATGTAATTGTTAGTTCCCAAAATTACTTAATTTGAAATATTCTCACATTATTAGCAGGTTAGGTAAAAACCTTGTGTATAGTAAAACCAAAGATCTTATTTTTTGGATCACTATCAGACAGATAAGTCTTTTGTGATGATATAATGTTGTGATAAGTAGTGTGTATTCTATGTTTTTGAGTATGTACTAGTGATAAGCAGTAACTTAACCTTGATAACACTTTGCAGTATCAAGTTGGCCAGCTGTACTCTGTAGCACAGGCAAGCAAGAATGAAACTGGGGGAGGGGAAGGAATAGAAGTCTTGAAAAATGAACCTTTCACAGATTTCCCCCTGTTGGGTGGAAAATTTACATCAGGCCAGTACACTTACAAAATTTACCATTTGGCAAGGTATGTACTGTATAAGATACAAATCTGTTATTCAAATTTTGTTTTTAATTTTGGTGCCAAAATAAATGCTTTGAAAAACATTAAAAAGTTAACTGCAATCAGGGTTGTAGGAAGTGGTAAAGCAAGTTAGGCCATGGCCTGACGTCTTTTTTCATGGCATGTATAACTACAACTTATGTAATAAGGCTTTTTTCTTTTAATTTGATGTTATATTGTGTGTATGCAGTTTTTATAGTTGACATGGCTCAAGATTCAATCTCATAGAATTAAATTTTTCTGGGGGGAGCATGGCCCCAGACCTCGTAGAAATGGCATGCTTTGCACACATCTTGTGCCACATTGTTTAACTATGGCAATGGCCTGAAAAATTGCTTCCACAGCAATGGTAATGTTTATGATAATAAATTTTCAGAGTTTTACTGTTTGAAATTGTGGTCCAATGATATAGATTTACATTATGAAATAAAGTAAAATGTATTTCTATGGTAGTATTAATGGAATTTAATTTTCAGACCATGCTTAAAAAATTGTTTGTTTGATGTTTCCTACCTACCCCACTGAGGTTTGGGTAGGTATTTTTTTCCTTCAGCATCAGGTTGCCAACAGTAACAAATGCCAAAGGCATGAAGTCTCTCTAGGAGAGGTCTGGGGGCATGTCCCCTGGAAAGATTTTAATAAAGAAGTCACAAATGGTATATTCTCAAAGCTTAAATGATTATGCCAGAATTTGTAGTATCAGTGACACTGCAGCATAACACTCTGCTACTTCTCTGGAAAGATGGTGATGTCATTGCTCTCTGTGCTGGGAAAGGACTCAAGTGGTTACATTCACTGCACATATACTTTTGTGCATTTACTGGAAGTGTATTGCCAATGCATGTAAACAATTGCATAAACAGCCAATATGCTTTGTGGAAAATGTTTTTGATTTATAAATACTCTAAAGATGATCCTAAGATGTTAAGTAACATTCAAAAACTTAAATACTTTGCAGAACAAAAAGAATACATGGAGAAATGACCAGGCAGGTAAAAATAGTGAGGGGAGGGGGGGGGGTCAAATTGCTAAAAAGAATTTTGAGCCAGGCCATTTTTTCATGGGTCAGCCACCAACATCAAACAAATATAATTTTATTTTTGGCTTCACAAAGAAATTGACTTTATAGAAATTAAAAGTTTGCCTTTGTTTGTTAGTAAGGCCTAATATTAGCCTATCATCATACCAGCTTTTGTATTTATTGTGTACATCTTTTCAACATAGTATTTGAAATATACAAAATGTGAGCTTACACATTCCCATACGAGTCATATACTATAAAGAAATGTTTTTGAATTTATTCAAGTTCATTGCATTGAAGTATTATTTACAAACTGAGTATTGGGTTTTATAAAGTAAAAAGAAAAAAAGATGCATGTTATTTTAAGTGGAACATGCATTGTGTGACTGGAAATTCCAATTGTAATTTCTTTTGAATAGAAAGATATTCCAGTAACTGTGTTGTGGTAATTTATTCTTGTAATGTATATGTGTTGCATTCCCACTCAATAAACAAGACAGGAGTCTGTTAGAAATTCTGTTTTTAAATAGTAACACTTATGACATTAGATTTTGGTGCACAAGTTTAACAGTGTTTGTGTCTATGTTTTTAAAATTTACTCAGGTAATTTATGTGTAAAATATATTTATTTATTTATTATTGATATATATATTTTTATTAGGAGGATTATTTTGCATTGTTAGCTTAGTAGATGGATGTAATACTAGTCTAAATCTACTAAGCTGACCAAACATTCTAAACAATACAGACTTTTATTTTATAATTGACATTGCATACTCCTACTTAGACCAGCATATTAAATTAGCAATATTACTTAGAATTAGTAATGTAGTTTTGTCCCATTGAAAGCGTAGTTGTTTGACCTACTCTGGGAACAAGAAGACTAGCCTGCTTGTGAATGATGATAAATTTAATTCAAATAATAATAATAATAGAAAAAGAAATAGATGTTAAAAATTAAAGTAACATTAATAATATTGTGTTTTTAATTCTTATCCTTTTTTGTAAATGACTTGAATAAAAATGATGATAATTACTATTCACTTGCTTACTCTGGTTCACACCATAACAATCATTGTTCATAAAAATTGATGATACATATATATGTAGCACCTAGACCACTACTATCTCTGTTGTACTTTAGCCAGTATAATAATAAGCCCTGATATAGGACGAATAGTATTTCTATAGTTTGTGGATTAATATATTATAATTTTAAGGTACAGGAGAAACACAGGATGGATATTCAGTGTTATTGTAGTTTTAATATTAATATATTTTAGATGACAAACACAAGCAACCAGTTTAATGTTAATTTGTGATCTTAGTTTTTGATAGAGAATTTGACAATCACATGTAACAGTGTTATTGTTTTTGTAGTTTGTGGTTTTAGGTAATATATAAGAAAAATGAGAAATGCAGGCAACAAAGCCCATGCTTTTCTCTATATTTAGTGTTTGATTGCAGATAAAAATATTTATAAGCCTGGCATGGCCTGGTGGTTAGAGTGCTCAACTTGTTCCCTGTGAGTTGTGGGTTTGAATCCCAATCACAATGAACATGCTTGCCCTTTCAGCCATAGGGGCATTATTATGAGACAGTCAATCCCACTATTTGTTGGTAAAAAGAGTAGCCCAGGAGTTAAAAATATCTTCAGCAAAATTTTCTAACTGATTATCTGTAAAACGATTAAAGAGTTTCTAATATGTACATATATATTTTTGGTTTGGTTTGCATTTAATGCAAAGCTACATGAGGGCTATCTGTGCTAGCTGTTCCTAATTTAGCAGTGACAGACAAGAGGGAAGGTAGCTAGTCAACATCAACCATTGCCATTACATTCCCATATTCTACCAGCTTTATCTAAAATTTTATGGATTAACCCCTTATTACTCTATTTATAATTTAGCAAAGTTCCTGCTTTCATTCGACTTCTTGCACCCAAAGGTTCTTTAGAAGTTTATGAAGAAGCTTGGAATGCTTATCCATACTGTAAGACAGGTGTGTATATTATTGCAGATTGTTTCTTCTTTTTTTTTTACTTTACTGCACGTCTTTAAATTTTATAATTTTATATGCCCTTACCTTTTCAAAACAATTTGTTAAAACAATGTATGATATGGATTTAAATTCTGAAATGAAATGTAGTTAATAACTAGACAGAATTGACAAATTACAAAAACATTTCTTTTTATTACTTCAATATGTTAACATTTACCTTACCTGAAAGTGTATTTCCAGTCGATACTCATCTTTTCACACAGGATAGTTATCTTCCACGCATTCTTCCAAAGAGATTTGCAAGCCACCAGCCTTGTGGAAACTCCCTCTTAATTTTACATCAAACCACTGAATTTGTGCTACTGCATGATGACATCATCATGCAGCAGGACCATCTACCAAAGAGAAGTGCAAAACAGCTCCATGTGCATTGACTTCCTCTACATTTTGCCCTCGTGAATCCTCATTTTTCCCCTCAGCAGTGTATTGACCAAACACGTTTCAAGTTAATGAGATTTGCATTGTTAACAAAACTTTGATATTTGTTTTCTTAAAGCTTTAATATTTTTAATGACTTCTCGATTGATGGTGATTTGTAATTAGTCCTGAGTGTGGGATGTTGTTCACACTTAAGCCTTGTTTCTGTTGTGCTTTGGAAGCCCATTAACTGTCAGGATTGTAGCAGTTATTGTTCAGTGTGTTGTGGATTATCACATGCTTAACTCTTTTAGCACGGTCTTGGTCCCTGGGACTG